TTGTGTTGTTGATAAGGTAGTTGTCTATGCTTAATTTATTCTATGTGGAAAGTATTACCAATTTATTGTATGAAAGATGCTACTAAAATAAGATTTGAGTGACCCTTACATTCATTAAAATCTGCTGTTGCACCAACAGATAAATTGGAACAAAAGGTCCTTACAAGCTTGCTTCTGTCTGGTTACAAGAATGCTCTTATGGAAGCTCTCTTTCTGAAGCAAAATACACCCTTAAAGGCAGTAAGGCCTGAAAATCAGCTCTTCCCATAAGTCTGATACAGAGTTACATAGTACTGAAACACACAAAGTATGAGGAAAGCTTCACTTGAGCACCACTCACTTGAATGGCTCCCTGGTGCCAAAATTAAAAGGCACAGCTTTGGACAGCCCCAATAACGTCTCTAAGTATGTCAGGCTTTCTTTGGGTATCAAACCAAAGTAGGGCCTACAGCTAGCACTCTCACACTAGTTGCACCTGGACGATATTGAGCATTGCTACAGATCTTTCTCCAAATTTTATTCTGGACAATGGTTCATCATAGAACAGCCCAGGTTGGAAGGGAGTTTGAAAGATCACCTGGTTCAACCTTTTGTGGGAAAGGAGTTATGGTCATCCACAGAAGTACACCACCTCTAATGTGAATGATTAATTCTGTCCACCCAAGCGAACAGTTATTTTTAAAAGAAAAGTACTTGTATGTATTGTGCTTATAATATGTCTTGTTTAACACTTAACTCAGAAAGTGCCATAATGTCATACTGGTGTTTCAGGACAATATGCATGTCTCAGCATGCATATTGGAAAGTGTGGTTGAGATTTCTGCTTATCTGTGGAAGATTCACCATCAGCAGTTACACTGTCAAAGAGTACAGACACAAACCAGAAAAACTTGAAAACTGCTGAAAAGTTGGCTGACTAATTTTGGAAAAGGCTTTGTCTGAAAGGAAAGGGGAAAAAAGAAGGATGTGATATGAGGCAACTCAAGTTTGAGTTACCACAATGATTCCATAAAATGGCACTGTACCTTCCAATATAAATGAGTTGTCTATCAAGACAGAGACATTTATTTCTTGTGAAAAAGAGACAAAAAGATGTCTCAAGATACTCTTGCCTTTCATTTCAGGTATTGACTGGAATTGTCACCAGGCAAAAACATGGAGCAATGCAAAGCACTCATCTCCCACTTGTCTATGTAAACAATGAAAACAAAGTACTGGAAGGAGGTAGTCCAATAAGCAGAAGCAACCAAGTAAGCAGCCAATCATCAAATAATACTGTATCTTCATTCATGACATAAGAAGCATGGAAGAGAGTTTTTCCTGATCAGTTGTTTCAGGCAGAGTGCAATGATACAGAAGCTACATGTAGTCATCTACTCAATTACAAAGATCAAATACATTTAAAGAAAAATAAGCATTTATCCCAAATGTAACAATTTCCTTGTATACTATATATATGTATATACTTTACATACTTGTTTAGGTCAGTGGTCTTTGAATAACTGGTCACTTATGAATCTGTTGACTATGCCCCTATTACTGAAAGTAAATAGGAAACAAGGTACTTAAAACTTCAAAACTGTCACAGCTCTTCTGGATGTACACGTGTCAGTATGAATCTCAAAGCAAACTAAACAATAAAGGAATTAGAGTATCAGGAAGACTATGCCACCCCTCCCTAGCAATGCTGTTTTCTGAAAAAGGAGTTCGCTATTCACTCTCTTGCATGTATTCCACTGAAGATTATCACATGTTCTCCTGAAAAATGTTTAGCTATTTTTATACTAACATAAGGATCTCCTGAAATCAAATTTATATACTCCCTTTAAATCCACCACCCGCCTGAGGGATACAATCTATGACCTTGCATGTCCTAATGCCCTTATGTCACTGTCAATGTATCCAGCCAGGAAAGAGGAGCAGTGGGAACTGTTCAATGGTATACAATGAGAAACCAGAGAAAGAATTTGTTGTATTAACTGAGATGAAATTGCTATTTGTCCCAGATTTTGTGCACATGGCAAGAGACAAGGAGGGTCTGTGTACTCTGTATTTCCTGAGGCTGGCTGGATGTTAAAATGTCTGTCTGGACTGCACAAATGCAGGAAAGTCCCTGCAACGTTTCAAGGAAACCACGTTTCTGTTCACTAGTGAATACCCTGGATAAACAGCCAAAAGTGTAGCAATCTGACAGGCTCTGGTAGATGTATTTCCTATACCCTTCCAGCCTTTTTTCTGTCCCCAGAAATAACAGACACTTTTGGTGTCTAGAATAGACCAGACTCTGAAAGCCCTGAGGGCAGTGATAAGCCTCACTGGCCCTACCCAGTCTCCCCCAAGGACTCCCCCTGCACCCTGCCCATGGGCTCACATGGCCAATTTCAGCCTGCCCCAGGGGTGTTAGTCCCTGCCTGAGCTATGCCATTAGGAGTGCTTGTCTCCAGACTCATCTGTGGCTCTGTTGCCTGGGTGGACTTCAGACCTCTGCTATAGGTAGCTTCTCTGCCTGAAGGACTGCTCGGATGTACGTTGTAGCTTGTGTCCCATTCTGATTTTGACCCTGACTCCTGGATGGACCCACACTGTTGCCTTGTCTCCAGCCCTATCTCTGGTCCCATCTCCTGTTGCTCCAGGTGGACCCTGAACCTGACCCATTACTTGCCTTGTCTGGGATGGTTGATGGAGCTTGTTACCAAAGCCTTGCTCTGCCCGCTCCACTTCCCTGCTACGGGACTGTCCCCTTGGACAATGAGAGCACTGCCTGTGCTATAGCTGCTCTGGGTGCCTGGTTCCTATCACCTTGTGTAGCAACCCCACTCTTGCTGCTCCTTGGACACAGTCTATGTTGCTGGTGAGGTCACTAGGCCTTGTGGTGGACTTCATGCACCTCTCTCAAGCAAATCCATGCAGAACAGAGATGAAATGTAACAGTATGGCAGCATATTCCTCATTTTCTGAGGATAACCTCTGCTGCCTCAGTCTAGTCTCTTCACAAGTGGAAAATTCACTGAGAACATTCGCTGTTCTCCACTCATTTCAAAAAACAAGTGTTAAATACTGGGCATTGATTGTAGGTTCCTTTAGGAGACACACAAGCTTAAACTCTGCCAGCATGTCACTTCTCTCACATTGGGTACCTTGTAACAAGTAGAACAATCCATTGATGCAAAAGGATTCCATTTTAAAAGGCACATTCTCATTTGTAATTAAATAGTCAAAAGTTTGGCCAGATCAATGCTGCAAGTATATACTCTATTGTTTTTGTTGGGATTCGTTAGAAGGAAAACATGTTAAGGTCACACTTTGTGTGTCACATATCACAAGGTTACTGTAAGTCCATTCCAAACCTCTAAAATGAACTCCTCGTCTATTTCTTACCGTGACTTATTTTCATCTCATCTATGCCTTGCCTGCATAACACAAAGAACCATACTGAAAATGGTCTGCTTAATTGCAACTGACAAAAAATTTGTGCTGTAATGAAATTTGTTATAGCTATGGTGCATTGACCTCGGCTGGCTGCCAGATGCCCACCAAGCTGCTCTATCACTCCCCCTCCATTCTTCACTGACCTTGGTGTCTGCGTAGTTGTTCCTCCCACATACTCTCACTCCTCCCTCCTTGCTGCTCTTGCACAGCATTTTTTACCCTTCTTAAATCTGTTATCACAGAGAGGCTATGAACATCACTGATGGGCTCAGCTTTGGCCATCTAGGAGCCAGCTGAAACTCACTCTGTTCAACACGGGGGCAGCTTCTGGCGTCTTGTCACAGAAGCAACCCCTGAAGCTCCCCCACTACCAAAACCTTGCCATGTAAACCCAATACAGTGGCAAGTGCAAATGGGGTTGTAGCAGTGTTCTTCCTTGGTCAAAATGCATTTATGACCCTGCTAGCTACCTAAACCTCAATGCACAGAAAAACAAAATTTAAAAAAAACTCTGTTAGAGGCTTAACATTGTAAGTATTCTACCCAAGGAGTTACTGAGGATGCAGACTGTTACTTTAAGAAAACAAAAATTAATAGATCATATCTGCAGGAATGGAGTCTGCAACATTTCTGGAAAAACTGAAGCACTTTTCATGACTGATAGACAATTGTTTAATAGCATAAGAAGAAACTAGCTAAATTTATGATGGGAATTTGGTGAAAAAAAAGTCAAACATTTACCCAGGGATCAAATGCATTTGACAGCTTTTATGTTTTGGGAAATTTGCATTTGCATTCCAGTCATGAAAATATAACTACATGGGACTTCAAACTACAGGGTTTTGATTTTGTACAAGTCAACTGCTTATCCTCTTCCATGAAACATCCTTAGTCCTCTCTTGCTGTATATCACGGCATGAAGGTGTTTTACTGGGAAAAATCTGAGAGTTTGAAATGTGATTTATATTATGAATTGTTTTAGGCATCTGCTGGAATATATTGCAACTTGCCCTCAACATTCACTCTTCCTAAGAAAGAGTCTGGTTATAATATGAGATAATTCTCAGACAGCTGCAAGTCTTTCCCTTACAAGGAATCCCTACATTGTTTAGAGTCTGGCATCATATTTCCTAACTGTACTCTCATCTTGAGGAATCCCTGGGATGCCGTAACTAAGTGATCTCCAGATAACCTACCTGAAAAAAAAAAAAATTCTTTTTTAAAATATTATTCTGTAACTTAGATTTCAACACTTGCAAAGCAATGAGTGAAAAATTAAAAGTAGCATGGTTTCCCTTAATAGACTAAAATTCATTGCCCAGCATTTATCACCAGGCTTCTCAACCCTTGACAATCCTGCGTGTTAGATATTACAGCATAAACATATATTAAAACAGCTGGTCCTGCTTCAAAACATGTACAGTCACATGATTAGGAAAATCATCCACACACAGTGTAAACAGGGGTCAAAGTGCTGTGTATTCCTTCTAATTAAAGGTTAAAACCTGTAGCCATTGCTATCACAAAGGAAGTGCATTGCTTATTGACTTATTACAATGCTATTGCATTACCTGTGGTTCCTTATTGTGTTGGCTAGGATCCTTTTCATAACTCTCTGCATAGATCCGGAGAGTAGCTCTCACATGGCTAGAAGCACTCATTCTGAAGATAAGCCTGGAAGCATCTGAAAAAATAATCCGCAGCCCCTATGGGAGAAGAAGGAGCAGCATACATGTAAGGCGGCAGTACCTTTACAAATCACGGTCCCCTGCTTTAAAACAAAAAGTGAAAAGAAGAGTCATTGCATGCAATTCCTAAAAAACTTTGGACAACCCATTTATTACTCTTTTTTCCCCCCTCTAAAGACTAGAAATGATCTTGTGTATTCCCTCCCACTCCTTATAACAAAGATTCTCTCACGGCTTTTTTTATTTTCTTTAGCTGATTTGTTCTTGTTCTGTGTGGCAGAGCACAAAATCAATGTCCTGAGAAATAGTTACAAGATCAGCAAGGATCAGTGGCCTAAGAAATAGCTACAGGATCCCAGGATCAAAACCCAGTTGTCAGTAGTGAACACAAAAGGTAGGATCAGTTGCTACCCCTCAAAGACCAACCATCAATATCTGATTACAAGAATTTCAACAAGAGTCTGTAGTACAACTTGGGAAACTTAAGGTGTTAATTAATTTCAAGTACACTAATTAAATCACATTAACTGTGTGTAGAATAAAAATGATTTATTATTAATGAACCGTGAATTTGCTCTTTGGTCCCATCTTCACCCCTTTTTTCTTTCCTCCACCCCCTTTCATACTGTATATGTGAATGCATTCTTCTCCAGACCACAGACCATGTACTTGGATCCACAGTGAACTTGCTGTACAGGAAGGCCACTAAGGCCAAAGGACTAAACTGCACAGTTAAATAGTTGCAGTGTTTCAATACCCTAGCAATTCTGCACTAATACGCAGTCTAATTCCCTTTCTGTAAATGGTAGCCTTAGGCTAAGTGCCACTTCTGCTATGCCACTGAACTTTATTTCCCCTTTTAGTCCTGCTGTTGCCAACTGTCTAGTGCATAAACTTGCTACTTTTGTTTAAGGGACAGTAAAACATTAAAAATGAGAGAAGATAATTAAGAGAAAAGCCTTTTATTCTTCCAGTTTATCAGCAGCTTGAGAAGACACTGACGTTAGCAATACAGTGCTCCAATATTCTACAGCTTAAGTAGAAACCTTTGTTTCCTCAGGTATATGCGAAAACGTCTTTAGCACTGTTGTCTGAAAAGCTGATTCGTGGCCTGGTGTGCAATAAGTCAATTGTCACACAGCACCATCTAAAGCATCGTTTGGTTGATAATCACAGAATCCTAGAATGGTTTGGGTTGGAAGGGACCTGTGAAGGTCATCTAGTCCAACCTCCTCTGCAATGACAGGGACATCTTCAACTCAGTCAGGTTGCTCAGAGCCCAGTCCAACCTAACCTCAAACATTTCCAGGCATGGGGCATCTGCCACCTCTCTGGGCAACCTGTGCCAGTGTTTCACCACCCTCACTGAAAAAAAAATTCTTCCTTATATCTAGTCTGAATCTACCCTCTTTCAGTTTAAAAGCATCAGCCCTTGTCCTAACACTATAGGCCCTATTAAAAAGTTTGTCTCTATCTTTCTTACAATCCCACTTTAAGTACTGAAAGGCCACAGTCAGGTCTCCCCACAGCCTTCTCTTCTCCAGGCTGAACAACCCCAACTCTCTCAGCCTGTCCTCACAGGAGAGGTGCTCCACCCCTCATATCATTTTTGTGGCCCTCCTCTGGACCTGCCTCAACAGGTCCATGTCTTTCCTGGATAATGCCCATTAACACTAGAAAATACACAACAGAAAAATATCCCACATGGATAAAGGGTTGGATTAGATGGCCTAAGAGAGATTTTCCATCTTTAGCTTTGGTGATACCATGAAACTTTTTTAGCTGCTAGTATGGCATTATATATTAATTTTAACATGTGTCAGCAATGTAAATTTATCTAGTAGTCTCAGTATGTACAGCGTAAGTGTCGAATAGAAATAGTTTACATTCAGAAGATTGAGGTTTAGAATCTGGTTTTCTAATATTTGCTATTAAGCCAACTTTGTAATGAGATGGTTGAATTGATGCTGATGAGAGTTTTGCCATTGATTTAAATGGAATCAAGATTTCATTTTGGATGCCTGGAATTATACAGGCAGTTTATTATGATCTGACCCTGTGAACAAGGGGTTGTCTCTTGCTGATTGCTCATTACACTTAACTTCATGACAGTGAAAAGAAAGCAGATATAAATTGAAGAGTTTCACATTTCTGAGTATAGTTTGTTTCGTATGGTTGTCAAACCCAGGACCAGCAGCTCAAAGTATGGAACATTAATATCAATCAACTTTAAGAGAGAAGGAAGGGTGTCTAACACATCTGCACAAAATGGAAGTGTGAGCATCAGAGTATGTGCATGTCTTCCTCTCCAAAGACTAAACGGGCATTTTACATGCTCCTGCCAGGCCTAGCAACTCAGAAAACACATGACTAGCAAGACCACTTGAATACTCTTCTACATGCTCCATGTTCATCTGACAATAATAACATAACACATTGTTACTTGGTTTAGCACATCTGAAGTCTCACCACTCATTAAATTAAGGTCTTGGGAATAAAAAGGATTTGTAAACACTCCTCGTAACTCTTCCCATAACTTTACACCAAACTACAGCATCTGTAGCCAGTTTGACATTACAGTTAATGGCACTTGGGGTGTTTATGCAACATATATAGACACAGGACCAGCATTCAGTTCACTATACTCTTTCTGAGCTTATTATTTTATTCATTTTGCATTTCTCAGGGGCACATGGCTGACAGTATTGATTTTTACACACACATCATGGCAGCTAATATTTTTCTGTAAGACTAGGATCCCTGCCACACAGCTGAAAATACTCTAAAAGGGAATTACAGAGACGCAGTGGCTGTAGCCCTTAAAAACAACAATCCTAAGCGCCAGGGAGAAATCATGTTAGGGAAACAATGGCCTTTAGAGTTGGACTGTCAAAGTCAACTTTTAAAGTCATGGTATTTGTGGCTGGAGATTAAGTTTAACTCATTTTTCAGAGAGCCCAGCAGTAAAAAATCTGACTTTTGACTCTTATTTGGAAACAAGCGATTTAAGCATTAGCAAAGCTTTTCACTCAGGAAGGCCACAGAAATTAATGACAGCTATTAAATTTTTGTATTCCTCACTGTTTTCCGTAAATTTTACCTAAAAGCAGTAAGTTACAAACGTTTGTTAAAACAAAAAGTCCCAGCCAAATACACTATTACCAAATAAATACGAAAAAACATTGCCTGGAGAATAACCTTTGATTCTGCATCTTGCGAAAGGACAAAACCAAACAGGTTTTCCCTGCTTGTTACAGAATACCCAGTCTAACATATAAAAGTTTTCCTTTTTGACATTTTCGAGCTTTTGTGGTCACCAAGGTCAAAGCCGGGTGGTGAAGTTGCAAGCAGCCTACTTAATGTTTGTCATGACAGTATTTTTCCACCTGACATAAGCTCCATCAATTTAAAGCCACATATTTGGTATTTCTTATATAGGTGTCAATTCCACGAAAGGTAACATTTTATATGCAGAACTTATAAACCAATGCAAGCAGAAAAGAAAAAAGAGTAACACACCGAAAAGTCCATAGGACAGGACAACTTCCAGTTTTAATAAAATAGGACACACTATTTGTCACTAACAAGACTAATGTTTTCTTATGGGAACAGATAATTTTTTTTTTTCTGGGAGGAAGCAGATGAAAAAGTTCAGTACAGCTCCCACACTGAACATCTGCAGATATTTATTTTAGGCAAATTGGGCCAGCTAATGGATATTAATGGGCTGTGCGGAAACTCTGAAACAAAATTATGTTCCCTGGTTAACAGACTGGCTTTGAAGCTGATGTGATGGAGATAGAGCTTCAAAGGGATTTCTCTCTTTGACATGACAATCCAGTTAAACAGCCTACTGATGTACTAGTATCTCGGAAAACTAAACCTACTGGATATTGTACTATGTAGTTTCGTTTCCAGTGGTTTGGGGTTTTTTTCAGTTATCAATTTCATATTTAAATAAATAATATTAAATTAGCATAATAAGTTAGCATGAACAAGACTAAGCAGCAAACTTCAAGCAAAATACCTTAAGATTTCAAAAAACATTATTAAAGCTTAATGGCAGGGAGTAGCACCAGTAGAAAATCTAACCTAGCAGCAATATATTAGGCACAAAGACATATACGTAAATTAGGAGCATGTAAAATGGCTATACTTTTACTTCAAAATACTGCAATTATCACAATTTTTATTTGCTCCTCTACAGGCCCTTGAGTGTCCCCTAGGCACAGCAGGTCACAGTTGCTACTCTGACTGGAAATACCTTCATGCTGACACACGACTGAATTATCATTCGAAATAGAGAAGAATTTTTGCCTTATCTCTGGAGAGTTACCTGAAATAACTTTTTTCCAACTTTTCCGTTGCCTGTTTCCTGACTCTTGCTCAAACTGAAATGCAAAAAAACCAAGACTACCGGCAGAGCCCTCAGCATCCCAAATCTAATGAAAGAGCAAGAAAACAACTTTTAATAGCAGACCTCCAGAGTTTTATTCTGTGGCTCTCAGAATGCTTCATTAAGGAGCTCAAAGTTAAGCATTATAGTGGGCAACTTACTTCTCATCATTCTAATTCAAATTTCACACAAAAATGCAACTGGTCCCATTTCTGGCTCGCAGGATCCTCATGCGCAGCACTGTTAGGTGTTCACGTGCGCAAAGGCTAGCACAACAGGAATTTAAAAATGAAACCAGTCTTCAAGAGCAGCAGAACATTTAATTTAATTTTATGCCTCATTGCTGCACTGTGATAAACAATATTAATGGGTTTCAATAGTCTGAATTAGAAGATACAGTCATGTAGCCATCTTCTCATTCATGAGACACAGTGCAGCTACACTAAATATAAACCTCTCTCCCTTACCTACTGGGGAACAAAACTTTGAACAAGTTCCTGAAAACATAGCAGGAAAATCTGCATGAAACTCATGACAGTCAGAAAAAGGCATCTGCATTTACATGAAAAGTAAGCTACCTGAAGAAAATGGCACCAGAGAACTGTCATTTCATTTGCATGGATCAATGCCCACTCTTACTTTATTGTTCTTGGAGAATCCCACTAAGTTTGCAGGCACGTGGAGCTAGGAATGTGTCCTTGCCAAAAGACAAACTAGTTGAACTGCACTCTCAACAAATACGTGCTTCTCCCTTTGAAAAGACATGCTTTCTGGTTTTATGGGCTCCCTTTCAGAGTCCATCTGAAAACAGGCCAAGTCGTGTTTCTCTGCTTGTGTTACATGGTGGTATGATTAGCAATTATATTCCAATTTAGGACAAGGGCTTTGGATGAAAACTAAGGGAAAGAAAAGCACACAGAAAATTCACAAGCTGTTTTTTAAAAGTACAAGGGCCACAAGGCTGACATGCCTGTAATTTTCCAGTGGACTTGGATATGAGAATATCCCCATATCTTGTTTCAGCAGTAATAGGCACAAAGTGAGTAGCTCAGTGGCAGGTGGGCTGCTTGCATTTTCTGGATGCAGTGATGAATGGAAACTATAAAGACTCTGAACAGAAAGGCATGACAATAGTTTTAATGGCTTGTAATATCATTTGCTAGGGTCTGGTCAGGTCAAGTAATTTACAAATCAGAGAAACTAGGACAATAAAAATAAACAGCCTAAAATCAAAACACATTTTAATATGAGTCATAGCTCATATTCAGGATGCTTAAATATACATTTACACCTGGCAAAAGTACATGGTTAGTTTTGAGCACATCATGAATTTCACAACACTGAAGGCTCAGTTTGAACCGCAGGTCTTGATAGCTAAGGAATCCCATTATGGACACATTCCAGAAGGGATACAGAACCAGTCATGTGGGCTAAAGAAGTCAAACGTGCCCACATATGGTACAATCCACTCAAGTCTTCTGCATGCTGTTGGCTACAACAGATATTGTGCTTTCATTATGCAAACCCTGTGGGTCACCAAAGGCAAGAAAATTTTAACTTTTGTGGTATTGTATAGCAAGTGGAGATTTCAGACAGAAAATAGAAAAAGGAAAGACTGTCTTTCTACATGACACTTTATGTTGTTCAACATTCTCTCTCTCTCTCTCCTACTTCCTCCAGATATGCACAGCAAGTGCAAGCTACACCAGAGGTGGATTATCTTATCCAGACTGAGCTACTCTTAAGTAGGACTTTGTGGTATCTATCAGGGCAAAGAAAACACCATCCCATACATAAATGGAGAGACTTGCCAGCTGAACATTAGAAACAACACGGTTAGAGACAATATGACAGTTGCAAAACTTTGCTACTCCATCACTGCAGCCATACCTGTCTTTTGGTCACAGTGCCATCCACAGGATCTATGTACTCAAAGCTGTCTGTTCTTTCCACACTGTAGATATTGTTACCCACAGCAAATTGCTGATGGCTGAACGATTTGTCAGTGATCAAAGCTTCCAGGTCTCTCATTATGAAATATGCTGTTCTGGGTTCCAGTGCTTCATAATCAAACCTTGCAAATACATAAAAAAAAGTAGAACCAAAAAGTAAGTCTCTTACAGATAAGAAAACAGTTCTGCTTTCACAGAACTCAATATATTCACAATTAGCAATTTACTGCTTACTTCAAAAATCAGAGGTGGGCCACTGAAGTACTGATTGCAAGTTAGACCAGCACACGCATGCAAGTCCTGTACAATCTGACCATTATGTCTGTGCACCACTGTTCTACACTGGCGACCTGACTCAGACTCAACAGAAATCATTTAGAAAATGCACCGTTTCTACAGTAGCATAGAAAACATCATCGATACACAGCTAGCTTTCTGAGATTAAGTAAACCATCAGTGCAGTGCTCAACAGCCGAGTGAAACAGAGAAAACTTTGCTAGAAGTTTTGAGGAACAGCTGCGTGCAAAAGACCTTACAGATATGTGAACTTCTCTGGATTAAGCCTATTCTGATGGAAAGACAGAGGCAGAAGCTAAGATGTAAATGACAGTTAGAGTTCACCCTTTCGAGACCTTAACAAAAATGAGTAAATGTTTGGATCTTTGGAGGAGTTCTCCTGAATTAAAAGTAGCCATAGTTCCTGTTCTCACTAAAACCCTGCCACACAGAAGCACATACAAAAACAAATGTAGGAGTAAATCTTGCTGGGATTTTGATTTTTTTTCAACACCACCTAACAAGCTATGCCTACAGATTCCACAAGTTAATAAGTCAAATCTTTCTGCCATTTGGTATCAGAAAATTCAATTACTCATATACTAGAAGTGACATATACACACTGCTCCTTCAATAAGTAAATAACTTCTGCTGCCACTTACTCATCAGAAAAAACCTGCCTACAGAACAGTGGCAATCTGTGGCAGATTTTCATTCATGCACGCCCAAAAGCAGGTGAGCACAGCTAACAAGCCATGGTTGTAGCAGAATTGTTCTATCAACTGCATAAGTTCCTGTGCCCTTTCCTTATTTTTCTCACCTGCAGTAGTAGTGCCGGCCAAATTTTGTCCAGTGATCCCTGACAATCTCCTCCACGCTCTGCTTTCGAGCTGCTAGGATTGAAAGCCAAACTAGCACAGCCCATAATCCATCTTTCTCTCGAAGGTGATCAGACCCTAAAAAGACATACATAAAACACATTATTTGGTATCACTGCAAATCAGAAAACAAGGTAAAGAGGCCGGGCAAATGTCTCATTTAACTTTGTATGTCATGTAACAGTAATCAACAGTACTAACCTCGGCAACTCTGGTATCTTACAGATGGACAACCAGAGCTAATATTTAAAATGTGATTTATTTATATATGGCAAAGTCAGTACTCCTAAGGTTAGAAAGATGCACAAGTATTTGAACATAAATGGTAGTAGTAGGAAAACATTTTTAGTCATGATTCCTGCCCACTGACATACAGGGTGTTTTCACACCTCTGGTACTGTTTCGCAGAACTGGGCTAGATATACAAACCCTGGCCATGAGCCAGCGTGTTCTGAGTTATGTGAGTTAGCATCTCCTTGTCTCTGCAGACATTCACCTGTAAAGCTGCAGAGGAAGAATTTTCCCATTTCATGAAAAATGAAGATTTCCAGAACGTTCACGACCTCCCATCAGGATGAAAAACAATAGCCTGAAAAAAAGGTTCTGGAAAAAAAAAAAACCTAAACCAGACAATAGTACTTTTTCCCCTTTCTATATTTCTCCATAGCATTCAGTGGTAAAGATGTTTGGATGCTCAGATCTAAATCCCTTCCTAGGTTTATATTTATGAAGAGATAAATTGATCCAAGAATGGAGACTAAGAACAGTTTTGGAATACCCCACACAATTTAGCACATACTTTCAATATATGGGAGGCACAAGTTCAAGCCTCTTATCTGAATTCAAAAGATACTTGATCTTGATTCAAAAGACTTGACCTTGCACTTCCCATGTTCAAAGCCAAAATGCCAACTTGGAGTAATAGGTTGCTCTGCAATAGACATGTAATGTATCTTAACCAGAAATATTTCTATGCAGTTAAGCTTTGCCTGTTAAAACTGGAATGGATCAGTCACCGAAAAGTTTCAATAACATCAGTATTTTCTAACAAAAGACTGTTTCATGGGAAGGTTCTTGGTCATCTCAGCAAGGGCTCTCTCCTTTTGCATAATTTAGAACAAGCTTTTGTGGCAATATGTATCTATACCAGATTACCAAAAGATCACAAGGAAGCATGCATGAGAATTATCACAAAGAATTAACACATCTGACACTCAGCAGATACTGATGACAACTACTAAGCCAATAGGCTCAAGAATCTTGAAGAGACATCAAATATGTAGCCATTGCTCTGGCATAATAATACTAGATTTGGTTAAAGTTTGTTACCTGCAACCTTCTAATTTTCTGTCTAGTCACACATTATTGAAGCCCTGAGTACAAAGCAAGTGCAGTAATTCACAAGTTTTGCTTCCTCCATGAATCAGGAAGGCAACCAGCTGCACTATCTGTGCCCTTAGAACATAGAAAATCCTCCAGAGAGGAATTTAAAAAGTCTTGCATTTTGTTTTATGAAATATCCTCCTTCCTCAAGCACAAAAATCTTGTGGCAGCCAGAGTGCTTTGCAGTGCTGTGGTTTTACATAACAGCCTGCAAGGTCTACACAGTCATCTGTCAAAACGGCTGTGTTTTGCTACTGCCAGAGGACACGGTTCCCATAATCTAAATTGATTCACTGAAGCTGTTAATCCTGCGAAAAACTGTCAACAGAAAATTAATGACATATAAGGAAAACAGCAAGACATGCAGAGAGCCACTGTGATTCCTAGGGTTCAGTCTCGACATCCATCTTCCAGTCACTGCTGCTGCCTTGGACTGGCAGTCCCTCTTCCTGGGAGACAGCAACAGTCACCATAGCAGCTGCTATTCACACACATTTGCGAAGAGCCCATCGTCCTGGGCCCGCCACAGCTCTGCCTCCCACTTAAGTCTTCTTGCGTTATGTTCAACCCTGGGGATGTAGACCTCCAACACCCTGAATCGAACATTAAGCAAGTTAGCTACCATAGAGTTAGCTAAACGCGAATTACTATTTCAGCACAACATCAGAGTTGTATGGGAATGATTACTGAAGACTTGTGAAGAGGAAAAAAAACTTAGATGAAGATTATGTTTGCATCTTTGAGTAAGGTAATGCAGAAAACAAGGACACTGAATACGGTAAATCAATTTAAGAGCTGAGACAGATGGTAACATTCTTTTGCATTTGCAAAGTAGCTGTCATGATAGTAAGAATACTTCCTGCCTGCCACTTTTTACCAGCCTGATCTGTAATCTGTGAGCTCTCTGCAACAAGGGCAGTCTCCTACTAAAATGGCCAGAGCTATGGGCTGGTCCTTGAGCAGCTGCTGTAAGAAGAATCATAGAATCACAGAATCATTTGGTTGGAAAAGACCTTTAAGATCACTGAGTCCAACTGTACCTGTCCACTACTCCACCAAGAGCGACAGCTCACTCTGTTCCCTGCTCCAGAGTCATGGGAGTTGTAAGAGCATGGAGTGCTAACTAATCAGAAGGAAAAGGGCAGGGTTATTTATGAGCTCTCATTGCTTTGCAAATAGCTGCAGATACGAAAGAATACCAAATGCCTCTCCACAGGAAGCTAGCCTTCGGACAATCAGGTCCTCACCTTTTCTATTCCCTTGATAACTCACTAGATCAGCTGAAGCATGCCTTCCACAAGAAACACCAGCAATATGGCCGACAGATAATAAAGCCAGCTTACCCATAGGCAAAGCAGATGGCATGGTCACAATCATTGTTATTGCACCCAAGAGTCTGCTCCCAGGTAATGGTGCAGGTTTCTGCCACAGCCACCAAAACAGAGACCCAGAACAGAGCTGTCACCTCCCACCCATCATTCCTCTGGTAGCAGCAGGAAAAGTCATCAGGTCACCATAGAGGCTGGGGGTTCCTGGGGACTGGGAGCACCGAGGGCTCCCCCGGGGTTGCAGGGCAGGGCCCGGCAGCCAGGCCGCATCCCACTGCCCCAGCCAGGAGCTGGGCAGCCAGGGGGCACTGGGCAGCCCCAGCCCCAGGCATCGGGCACCTCCCTGGGGATGGGCTGAGGCCAGGCCAGGATGTGGGATCATGGGCAGGCCTGGCTCGGAGAGCCCATGGCCAGGCAGGGCAGGGCAGTGGGGAGCTGGACACCGGCCCTGCCGCAGCATCACTGGGGTAGGGGCTGACAGCCCTGGGGGCTGACATGGGGTCCTGGGCCATTGGCAGGGCGAGGGAGCCCCAGGGGTCTGGGTAGGGCCCTGGTAACAGCAAGGTCACCCCACCATGGCTGTTCCTTTCCTTCTTCACCTGCTTGCCTCTCCTTTCAGCCACTCATCCTTAGCACTGAACAATTCCATTTCACCTAAAAAGTCACCTCTTTTGCTGGTATTACCAGCAACTTAAATGGCTTAAGTGTCTCAACAGACACAAGCAAGAAGTGGAGATATGGCATTGAGCTAAACACCTCAGCGATTTGTTCCAATGTAAACACTCGTTTATTCTCCTGTTGTGTAACCCAACAAACAGTACAGAGAGAGGCACAGCATTCATTCAGCAAAATGGTCTATACATCACGACATCTGTGCAATGGTCTGAACTGAACACCAAAGAAGAGATGAGTTTTGATTTGACAAACACTTCCAGTATGTTTCATTGAACCAAAATGGTCCAGTGAAACATGGACAGAAGAATTTTTGGAAAGCTCTCTGTTGTGCTCTGAGCCTTGTTCTGGCATGGCTTAAGGTCATAAATCTCTATGAAGAGGGATAAGCGTATACATGTATCATTCTTCCAATCCATTTAGCAGTTTTAGCGTGTGCTGTGTCCTTGTGTGTCCTTCAGGAGGACATACAGATTGTTGTTTCTCTGGAAAGAGAAAGCATTGGAAGAAAACAATCCAAAGGCAAAAGCCTGGATAGATATGCTGGAAACAACCCAACCGTTCCAGAATCAAAAGTCACTGATGAAAAACGCTAGCCTGATGTGAGTACAGGGACAACAACCCTGTGAGCCCAAGAAGTGTCTCAGTGTCATTATTCCTAATAGGAAGAAACTGACAACTGGGATTTCTCAGAACTTGTTTATTCCACCTCTTTTATTTCACCAGTGTATCCATCAACTGGGTTACTATATGCACATACATTGTTCTATTTATTGCCCATCTTTCTTTTAGCAAATTAAAATCTATTACTGCAACTTTGTTAGTCAACTCTGTTTTTCACTGACTGTACTGTTGTCTGTAGGTGGTTTTGCTTGCTCTCTCTCACGCTCATTCCTACTGCCCAGCTGACACGGTAGAAACTCTAGGGAGGGAGCTCGTTCTGCTGCCTCAGCTCAGCTAACACCATTCTTCTTTGCTTTACGGATCCCATATCTGCTGCTGTGGATCTGCAGAGGCAGAGCTGCCCTGTGCAAAGAAAGGATCAAGTAAAAGATGCCTTGCAACTATTTATTCCTGGGATTGACATGCTAATAGTCCTCCTTGCCTGCTGAGGGCTCTCAGCAACCTCAGGATAATTCTCAGTGATACTTCTAATTGAAACATCCAAGGCATTAATGAATTCCAGATTGTTTAAGGAGCTGAAGCAGAGAGACAACAGAACAGAGGAGTCAACAAATATTGTTCTGATTATCCTGTTATATTTGATTTGCCATCGGTAAGGGAAATTGCATAGCTGCAACTACTTCAACAACTTATTTTTGAGTTAATTTGTCACATATTTCTCCATATAACAGTAGCAAAAGTTATTTTTTACAACCACAACATTCAATTGCTACAGCTGGACTGTAAACAATTTGGAAAAACTCTCAGAGCATTTTCCCATTCATAAAGAAGTACTCAGCTTAAACAGGCCTAAACTGAAGTCAAGTCTTGAGAGGCAGTAGCCTGAGAAACAAAGTAAGATCATACAAAAATGTTCATATTATGATTTTTCTCATACTGGAAAGCTGTTGGGCATGCAGGCTGTCTTTTGCATGTCTAACTTATTCTGTATCTGAGATTTCCAATTCTGCTAGAGACAGTGAGCCCTGAGGGTCATATGCATGAAGAAAATGTAATTGCTTTCCCCTAAATTAGTCATCTCTGTCTACCATATTGCATTCTGTAAATGTGATTTTAAAACAAAAATCTGACTGAAGCAAGTATACAAACTCGTGGTAAAGCATTTTGTTTGCACAGACTTTGAGTCTTACAAATTTATCATCCAGCAATCTGAAATTTGACAATACTTCAGGGAAATGGAGATTTAGAGGCATTCTAATCTGTTCCTTTATTCAAGTTAATGAGATTATTTTATGTTTGTGTTGCTGTAACAGATACCAGCAAACAGCTCTTTTAAGGCTTTCATCCATTTCAGCAGCAACACATTTTTATATTCTCCACTAGCTCTTTTTCTATGTATCTTGCAGGAGAAGGTGGCTGATGTTAATAGCATCAGGAAATTCGGAGATAAAGCATGCAAATTCATTAAAGGTGTAGCAATTACTGAAGGGGCTTAAACTGCAGAAAGATAAATCAGCCACATAGCTCTCTTAATCCTGATTAATAGTTTGCTGATGAAACTTAGAAACTAATTGCTGCTGCTGACGCCCTTCTCTGAACTGTGTCCTGGGCATTAGTCATAGAACCAGAAAGCTACTAACCTCATCTGACAAGCTCTCCACACTGCTACAAAAATGGAAGAAGTTTTTAAAGCATTGGTTGAGCTCCAAGATCAGCTGCCAGAAAACAAGTCTGGGAAATACAGCCCTATGGGATGTTTTCAAAATCTTTTGTCCTTTTATAGCAGAAACTTTGCTTTTATTTACTTGCCAGAGCAAAATCCCTTATGTTACAAAATCCGGGCACTGTATTATTTGGAAATCCCAGCTGAGCTGGATTACCTGGATACACAAGCAATCGGTCTCCAGTGCTGTTCAGTTAGTTTGACGATAGCATGCGGATCTGTAAAACCCCATTCTCTTGCACAGAACAGCAAGTTTCCCACTCTGATCAGCTATATGGTACATTTCTTAAAATATTCCATGCTGAAAGCCCAAGAAGTGCCAAGTTTCATTCCCTAAATAGATATGATTGAGGGGAAAGCTGTAAAATTGATTCAAATGCCTAATACTGGCAGAAACTTGTGAGGGTCACACAGCTCAAGACATTACTTAAAGATTCACAGTAAGGTAAATATTTACTGCTAAAAACAGCTCACATTGCTGAAGTATTGGTCATCTACGGACCAGACTGCATTTTACACATAAACCTCCTGGCATATGAGGTATTTTCAGGCAGCTGAATTGAACTGAAAGACAATAAGGAAACTGAGGCAGGGAGAAAAACAAACAAGGCATCACAGTCATCGCATAATTGCCCTTTAGGCACGGTCACGATTCATTTAGACAGCAACTACACACGCACTGAGGAATTTAAACCCAGTGCTCAAGTTGTCTGGCTGCCTAGGGGATTGAATCTTCAGGATCCAGATTAGCCTTTAGATAGCATTGGCTTACATGGGAGGTCAGAGGTCTTTCTCCACTGAAATGCAGGTACAACAAAGCTCATCTGACCAGTACGTGTGGGGATGCACAGATTAAAAATTGCTGCAGAGCAGCTCTCCATGCTGCCCAGCAACATGTTGTTCAATCACCCTTAGAACTCACAGGAGACAGAATTTATCAGGAATCCAAAGAATTAATGATAGGATGGGAGAACCAGATGCAGATCACCTTATGAAAATACCTATTCAAAAGATACATTCAAGGCAATACAAGTCTGTGCCAGTCACAGCAATTAAGACAAGGCATCCAGGTTGCTAATCATGGGACATTGGCTCCCATTCACAACAGAAAGAAAATAAACATTCTTTATTAATTTAAATTCCCTTACTTTATACAGGTAGACAAGCAAAGAAATCTAACACATTTTTGGTTCTTCTATCATAGTCCATTCAGATACTTACAGACAGTTAATAACAGGCTAAGACATAAAGTGGCATGTCTACAGCTTAAAGGTATCCTCATTTGTAAAAGGCAGCATTCTGCTCTAATTGACCTTAACCAACAGACTTAATACTAGACTTTTAACTCAATCAAAGCAAAATGAAATTTGTAACCAAGTTTTACTGCATAATAAATTATTTTCTATGAAAAGCTGTAGCCAATGAATTATACACCAAAATAAAGAACTCAATGGAACTCAGATCAAAATAGAGAATAAATTATTAGCCAGGCAAATGGTTAAGTTATTCTGATACATGCTCATTCAAAAACACTTGCAACATAACCCTGCTAATAAATAAAAAGAAGTAAGAATTTCTGTGCCAGAATCCAGGAAACAAAAATTCAGTTTTTCTCATAAACCAAAACCACATTTGTGCAGATCTACAGACTAGCTATTTTAATTGTTTGCTCTAATGCTTCCTGTCAGTACTGAATTCACGAGGGCTCAGATTTCTCTTTCATTCTTCATTCTATTGTTTGACTGGTTCTTGGGACAGATAAGGGAGAAATACTTAAGAGAAAACATAGACGCTGACATGTAACTGAATTTCTTCTATTGATGATTTTATCTGAGTTTTGCTAAAGGTGATGTTCCAAAAAAGGGATGCCTGCAACAGGTTTGATTAGATGCACCACTAGACATACCAATCCTCATACTTTATACACTGAATCACATTAGGAAAAACCATGTTGTTTTTCAATACAGGCAAAATCCCTCCAAATGCTGCCGCAGTCTGTGAAGACTATTCCAGTGGCACCAGTGAGACCTTTTTGCATTGTGTTCAAGTCAGAAGAGAGTGCCAGGCATCTCCAAAAGCTGTCTGGGCAGTGGTATGACTGCCTATGGCTTCTGATTGTCTACCTTCCCCATTTTTCATAACTCAAGGTACGGGACACCAGAGTTGCAAGAAGACCCTTCAAGCTGTGAACAACTGATAGTTTTCGGTTCCAGCACAAGACAGAGTTAATTTGATGATTCTTTTGGCTTTGACTTGAGGCACCCAGGAAAATTAAAAGTTGTCATTAGAAGTCTGTGGAAAGTTTTGATTACGTATCACTTACCAGTGCCAAAGCTCTCCTCTCCACAAAGCGAGCAACGTCCAGAGTCCATAAGATTGGAAAAATATCTCCATCCTGCTGGTGTCTCATACACAGGAACCTTCATTAGTTTTGCCACTCTGGAAAAGACACAATAAAATATCACACAATTAAGCAGTGCTTTTTTTCCATAAGGCCTGAGATCAGTTGAGGAATATTCTAGGTCTCACTCCATCTCCTGACAGCTGGGCTACAAAGTTAAAACAAACACAAACCCAAAACCAAAACAGAGCAGATCCACAGCATCATTCAAAACCGATCCTTGTCTCAGAACCTGACTTCAGCCAAAACCCAGGTATGTTTATGCACTAACTATAGTATTTTGGAAAATGTAGGATCTCAGGTCAGTAGGTTTTACCAGTATCTTTCTCTCATTACTGAGCAACAGTTATATCTAGAGAGACAAAGTTTTGTTATACTTTGTTATAACATATACTGTATGTTATATAATATTTTAGTGAAAGTTAAAGCACCACGTTGAAGTACCTTCCTTTACAAAACACAGGTAGCCAAGACCAATATGCTTGAAAGACACCTTTACTTCTATTCACGTGTTCAAAGCCAAGGCAATACAGGAATGTTGCCATGATCCTCCTCTAAAAAAGCTTTCCTAGTCTCAACCTGAGTCTGAACTTACTTTCCCTGTCTATTCTGATGCACCTATATGAAATACTCCCACCAGCTGGCTGACCTGTCAGTGTTTTCAAGAATCAAAATAAACCACCATATAAGCTGGATGTGCTTTCCCTTCCCCTGGTTGTTAACTGGTAATTATTCCTGTTACAAACTGTAATGAAAAAATCTTTTCTTGGACTAAAAAACAAGAAAGAAAAAACAAATCCTCTAAGGAACCCAATACAAAGCTAGGATTTACGCGGAATGAATATTACCGTTCTTTTTGTTTCTAATTATATTTGCTTGCTTTCATTTTGTGCCTAGGATTTTCAGTGCCAACTGGTTTTTAATATGAAAAATAAGAATTGAGATACTCTTCCTTTCCTTTCTTTCTTTCTCTCTCTTTCTTTTTCTTTCTTTCTTCCTTCCTTCCCTCCTTTCTTCCTTCCTTCCTTCATTCCTTTTTCTTTTCCTCCTGATCTCCTCTGCTGTTCCCAGATGCAACAGAAAGGACCTGCTTTTTCCTGCTTTTCTGCTGGTTATTGTAAACTTAAAACAAGATCTGTCCCATTGTTTGTGACCCATGGAGGGAGAGTGAAGTCGTCCTGCCATTGTGTGAAGCGGTAAAGACTCTGTGGTCACAGAGAAGTGTGGTGTCACCTGCAGGTGGCTGCTGGGAATGGCTATGATGGGGACCTTGAAATGCTTTGATTGATTTTTTATTGTGACTGAAAAGGACCTTACAATCTCTCTAAAATTGCTGCAGCAATCACACCCAACAAACATTTCCTAAATTCGACCCCCACAGAAGAATACTTGACATGAGACAACTTACGTCATTTTAACTGCAGTCAAGCCCAGGCAAAGCAGATCAATCACAGCAGGATTCAGCGCACTGAACAAAATCCACCTAGAAGTTAACCTGTCAAGGTGAAAGCAGGCACCTCCCTGCTCAACAGAGAGACATCTGTTTTCAGATGGCCCATCAATCTGTCTTAAAGTAGGAGTGCAAGGTAGATGGGACAAACTGTCCAAATATGCAAATACTGACCCATTCAAAACCTGGTACGCAAATGTACCTAAATGACAGTTCAGCCCCTAAGTATTCTCTCTGAAATCTTTAAATTGTTCATCAGCACTGGTATTAAGTCTCCAAATCCACTCATTTTTAGGTAAAAAATATCCATTGCTATCTAAGTCTCCTATTCAGCCTAGGTTTTCATTTTTGTACTTACATATTACAACTAAAAAGAGTGGTTTTGAAATGAGATAGTGTAAGAATTGCTGAGACTTACTTGAAAAGTGCTAAAGAGATACCTGGAGAAAAACGTATCATCAAAATGTTTAATCCTAAACTCAGTTTTCATGTCTCTAGTTTAAAGGTAGAGGCAAGCATATGCCTCCTTATCTTTATACAGCACTAACTATATTATTGGCCCTGAGAAACACTGCTGCATAAGGGAGGTTATACAGTGCAGAGCTGAACAGGTTTCTGGCTAGCTCTGCAAAAAATCAAGAACATAGAACGATTTAATCTCTGTGTGACAGTAACTGCACACTGGGAACAGGACCATGCTGCCAAAAACTAGAAAACAACAGAAAACAATGGCTAACATGCTGGAAGAGCAAAACCAATTCTCTTGAGAGCCCAACAATACAGCAGGGATATTTCTGCTTTCAGAAAAGTTACCATATCCTGGTACTGGTTTTGGAGAAGGAAATCCTTTCCCTTTCACTTTTCTGTTTTCCACTAGTCTAGGGACAAACAGCTTTGGATGGACCTAGCCTGACCAGCATGAAAGGCTTCCAGGGGCTGTAATGGTTTTCAGATATTTCTGTGCACTAGACTAGCACTGAAGAAACAGGCGTTGATTCTGCTGGCACTGGGCTTAATTTAAACTAAGCCTTTCAAACAAACAAACAAATATAGTATACATATAAACATATACGTACAAAGTTTATAGTGAAATATTATAGTGAATATTAAAATATAGTGAATTGTCCCTTGTGATATTTTTTGTTCTTGGCTCTTTAAGATTTTAACAGAGTAAATAAGTAGAAGCACACTGAAAATTAAGCATACTCTTTTTTAATTGCCATTTTACTGAACTAAATAATCATCACTAGAAATCTCAATAAATGCAGAATGTGCCTTTATGCAACCTATAGACATTTAAGGTGAATGATCACCCCACAAAACAAGAGAGGGGGTCCCGCAGGGAGACGCAAAAAATTCTCAAAGCTGCAGACTCAGAGAAATAATGTGCTGCATCAGTTCAAACAAATAACAATGCAAACTACAGGAAAATACCCTCAGAGGAAGGAAACTAGTATTTTGTAACTGGGAAATTACTAGATCTTCAAAGCCAGGGAAAAGCAGAGATTAAATGTGGGAAGGGGGGGAGGATTTTTAATGCTCCTACATCTTCATCTTCATAAACAAGTAATATGACTAGAATGACTTCAGTGACTTTACATTCACCAGTATGCTTTCTTGTAGACAAAATGACAAAACCAGATCTTTCAGTCACTGCTACACCACATAGACAGATTTTTTTTTTAAAAAAGTGCCAACTGAAACAGACGGGTAGCATCCCTTGTGGGCCAAAATTTGGAAATTAGTTTCTGTGTACTACTGAAGATTTCCAGCACTACCTAACGCAGCATATGACTTCATGACAAGCTTGAAAGATACTAAGGAAATATTTTATTCTGCTAGGTAAATAAATGCTTAGGGTGAGGGTTTCTGGAACATGTAATTCTGCAAGAACAATTGCTGATGAGTCACGGTAACGGTTTTTGGTTTATCTATAATAAATCACAGATCCATTAATTACAATCTATGGTGGGTTTAGCAATGTACCTTCACAGGACAGTTCAACCAAGTCTGTATTATGTATGCATAGCTTTTTAAGTTTCTCTTCTTTCTGCACATTTACACAGATTCTCTAAATTTAGCAACTTAGAAATGGGAAGTCAAGTGGTTACCACAGAGATTTTGTTGTCCATATGAGATCTCTTGGTCAGACAGGATACTACTTCTCCCAGAGTTTTGGAACTGGTGCTGTAAAGTGCTGTTTTACATCCTGCACAGGTCTCACTCATCAGAGTAAATTTTGTATGTCTCATATATACGAGATATGTATATCATCAATAAGATACTGATACAGTAGTGTTCCCGTAAGGGCAATACCTCAGCCTCTGAGTTCTCTGGGTGAAGGTGTTACCTGTCAAAAGGCCCAGATTGATGGTTGGAATATACTTCCAGAGCAATTCAAAATAAAAACTGGAAAAAAATACGCCATATGCATACATTCGTTTTCCTAGTCTATTTGAAGTAAAGGCCTTCTATTTATGCCTAACCATGCAGTTGATCTACCTGTGTTTATATGTCCCATGAGTATGAACTGTGTGGAAGGAATACAACGAACTGTGGACCTTCTGGGTTTTGTCACCTCGGACATTTAATGGGACTGACTTCAAACAGTATTCTTGCTTGCCTTCTTTCAGCGTTAAGTGCTCACTACATCAATGAAACTACAAAATAAAGTTTCTTCTGTCTGTGTGTAGCACTAATCAGCTCTTGCTAGACTGGGAAACGGGGTACTTACACTTCAACCTTAGTTATTCTGCCCATATCAGACCTAAGGGTATTTATGTTCCCAGTGTGCTGAAATACTAACTAAGGAGAAGAAAAAAAATCAAAGAAGAGTGGACTGTACTTTCTGCAATTACACACATTTACTTAAAACTATATTTTATTAATTTAATAAAAAGCAGGAGCAACTGTTTGTAAATGGGGAGATAATAAAGTGAGTTAAATAAGAATATAAATTATTGTAAGGTTATATAGTTAAATTTACCCTCCTACTATACAACTTCACTCTCATTTTTATTTTGAGGAGCTAGTCCCACACTACCTATACTGACCACCCACTTTTTATTAAAACCTAAGGAGAACACATACAACACAACCATAAGAAGAAGTGTGAGTCATTTCATCACTAGAAAACAGAATTATTGGAGAGTTTAGTACCCACAGAGAACTGTTAAGCCAATTCTTGAACTCTACGATGTCTCACCAAAGCATCAGCTAGCCAGTTCATAATAAAGGTAATAATGAGCATAATAATCATCTTCATAATGAAGAGCAAAATTTTGGGAAATTTCCTCTCTCTCAAAAAAAAAAAAAAAAAATTAAAAGCTAATTCTAAATTGCTTTTGAAAGCCTTAACAGACTAATGTGGAAAACTTACCAATTCTGCACTAGGCAAGTGGACTACTTACTGTACAGCTGCACATCTGAATAACCCAGATCATTTTCCTTACACTTCATAGCCATATGCATGTCACCTAACTAGGAAAACAGAGGGTACAGGACTCCCGATAGCCCAAATAATTTTCCTGGAAATTACAGTCAAGATATTATCCTACTTAAACTGTGTAAAAAGATAACTTTCCATTG